TCTTCCCCTCCACTGGAGAGGGGAATCTGTGAGAGTAGCTTCAAGGTATTTTGCTAGTCGTGGAGTTAATCCACGACAAAAACCATTACACATGTATCTTAGTTTGAGATTCTTGGTGTCATCCTTCTTAATTCCAGTTAAGCAACAGGTAGTAAGCAGTGGTCTTAGTGAATTTGGAAAATTTTCTGAGAAGTGTTTTTCTGCCTTGCAGAGTTTTTAACTGAAAAGTCTTACAAGTTTCTGAAGGGATTTTATTCTCCTTCGTTAAAAGCAGGATTAAACCCTCACAGTAAACTTCACTAAAGTTTTGATGTTTTCCCAGCCACTAGTTGAGCAATGTATTTTTTTAATTCAAACACTCTTTAAATGCCTCTCTCATACAACTGTTCTCACCGTGCGTACACATGCCAAATTTTGCAGCGTTCTTAGTTTAAGTGTACCAGATTCAGATTTGATTCAGTTTTTCAAGCTTGAAGGTATATGCCCTCTCACCTGTTACCTATCTTCTTTTTACATACAGTGCACACCTTCTCCTCTGTAATAATGCACTTCACTTGCTGATGCAAGATTCGCTCCTCCTGGACCTAAAGAATGGAAAAAACACTTGCTCAAAAAGCAATGGCACACCACAGCTCCCTTCCAGCCCGGTGAAAATGAAAACTGTCACAATGTATAATTTGCAGTGTCTGTATCTACATTAGCAAGCTGTAGAGCACAACAGAAGCAGGTCTGTAAGGCCGAGCAGCTGACACTGAACACCCAGCACCCACACACTCTGAATTGCGGGATTTTACTTTCAGTTAGTCTGGTCCACAGACTAAGGCATTCTAACCACTAAAGGACATTCACGTGAACTATTGAACTGCACCATCTGGTTTAGTTTATTTGAAAGAAATCCAGCACGTGCTCTGAGACCATCCTGCAATGCACACCAGAGCGCCACAGCAAAGACACACACCTCATCCAAACTAAAACAAAAGCACTTGCCATTCCTGAAAAAGCAACACTCAAGCTACACGATGCACGAACTCTAATTCTGGGCACACTACAGCATTGTCTAGAGGACACTCATTCGGTATAAGGAACAGTTAATTTAAATACTGAACATCTACTTTAACACACTATTTCAATAAATGACAGGTGGTGGGTACTCACCCTCAGAAACTCTGCATGGAGAAGATTCTTGAGTACTTGATTAAATCTTTTCTTCTGAGCGTTTTCTTCAAGGACTTTCTCTAAGAAGATTCGAATCTCACTAATCTGTGTATTTGCTGGGAGTAGGTTTATTGCCTGGAGCAAAATATACTTAGTTAGGAAAAATTAAAAAGGAATAACAGAACAAAATAGAAGAAAACTAACACACTTCACTTGACACTGTAACAATCTGTTTGCTTGCCTACTCCAGCACTTAGTCACCTTCTGCCAACAATACAAACTGAGTACTCAGAAGTCTTTCTTACCTTGGTGGTATCCAGTTTGCTGTGATGCAGTTCCAAAACCTGCAGAGCAGCCTGCAGATTGGCTTGAGGCTCCAGGACTTCCATCTTGATTGGTCCCAGGCAATGAACACTAGGCGGGGACAGATACATCCGCAGCAGTGACAGATAGACCTGTTGCACACAGAAGGAACGTTCTCAAACCACTGCACTCATCCACAATCGACGGTGCTGGTAGAACACAGCGACGGCACTAGTAACTTGTACCCATGCCATTCAAAATTCTGAAGTGCTCATTTAAACAGCTCTTACCTTAAAACAACAAGAAATGAAAAGTACCAATGAGGTTCAAAGCCTTTTAATACTTGCATTCTACACTACACAGAAGTAGTTTTAACCGTACCTCCCTCACTTATCTTACATAACCTTGAGAAACCAACACTTCATTGCTTTTTGCCATTAACTTTTCCACAGACGTACATGGAGTATGCACTCAATATTTTGTCTTATGAATTCCATCAGAACTTCAGTGATACAGTAACATTCACAACAAAAAACAAATTTAAAAAATAAAACATCAATCTTTTAGTAATTCCTAAATTCTAAGAGCTTATATATAAAGTTCCTGCCCACCTACACAAACCTTGAAAACGCATATACAGAGCAAAAACTTATGAATAGTATAATGCATCCTGCCTCTTTAGGAAGACTGCAAAGATGAAGCTACTTACATCTTTGTTGCCATCTTTGTCTCTGTCATAATGTTTATGGCAGTAGCTAGAACAGAAAAAAATGAAGTGAAATGCAGGGACACTTTTGGAACCCAGAGATTCAGCCCACAGAAATTAACATTTAATTTTTTTAATTACTGAAGCCATCTAAATTAGTTGATCAGAATAGGATGTACGGTCCCCTAATCAAGTTGCACAACAAAATTACACCATTTACTCTGCATTATAATGCTGAGAAAAGGGAGGTTTTGCACCAGTCTCATACTTCCAATACACAGAAAAAGCCTTCATGCAGAAACTAAATTTAATTCAGCACAGTAAAAAAAAAAAAAGGGGAAGGGGTGGGGGAGAGATGCCTCCAATCAACACATCATATCATAAATATATGTCTAGATATACCTAATTACCATATCTGAATCACAACGAGGTAGGTGTTCATTAGTGTACACTGCATACGAGAGTGAAATGTCCTATAACAGGCATTTGCTGAAACCAGCTGTAAAAGAAGCTATGTTGAACCAGCCCCAATGTTCAGATATACCTGCCAGCACTGGTTAATTCTATTTTCACCCACGTAGTGCAGATTCATTCAGAATGTTCCCTGACATGATAAATACAGCAAAATGCTGTATCTTTACCAGAAAGGCTAACTGAAGGAGCTTAACTTTGTGTCTGGGCTAGTGAATGTCTCTCTAAAGATAAAGGAAGCAAAACAACATACAGAACTTCACAAGTTAAGGACAGGTGGAAACAAAGAACTCACTGATGACAGTCACACTGCTCTAAAGTGCAATGACAGAAGAACATGAAAAGGTAAAACCTCAAGTGGATGGCATCATCATCTGCAACGAACAGATACCTGTAAGAGTCTAAAGGTCAAGAAAACACGGAAACCAAGATGATCCTGAAGGCTTACAGCATTCATGCTCCACACACAGCAACATTTCACTACACATCCCATCCACAGGACAGTGAGAAAATTAAAACGTGCAAAAAAAACCAAAACAAAAACCCCTTACTTTTCAGCCATGTTGGTGTCCTTCAAAATATGAACATAAATAAACAGAGCTTGCTCATGCTTCCCCATACGACCCAAGAGCAGAGCACGTTCTTCTAGGAGACCTAGTGATAGCACGAAGGATTAGTCAACAGCTACACAGAGAAATAACAACATAAGCTCCAACAGTAACCAGACTAACAGAAGGAACTGTAAACCATAGCCTGAGCACAGGTTACACTGAGACTGTAAGGCTACTTCATACTAATCTCAGTAACATTTTTATAAATTCTTAAGTAACCTTAAGAAACAACAAACTTGAGATCCATTGAGCAATTCAGGCTCATCAAAACATTTATGTTAAATATTTAAGCGATAGGAGACGTCACAAGGTCTTAGGCCAACAGCTACAGGAATCCCACAGAGACTGGCAAACCCAACTGTATCAGCCAAAACAGAGTTGGCATACACACCAGTGGCCTACAGCTACAGCCACCTTCTCTGTTTCTAGTTACCATGACTCTACACTAAGCACAGAGGTTTTGCTGTACAATGCAATACGCTAGGGTTTAATTAACCTATGGAAACTGAACTCACCATCAAATGGGAAGTCACTAATCAGTCGACTAGGTTCATACCAACTAGACTTCTCCAGGAAAAGCAGAAGCTTTTTACGGTAATCCCCCAAGTCTCCTCCTTCCTCCCCAGCAGGCACTGGAGATTTATCTATATGGAAGAAAACAACATAAGCTATGTTATTAAAAAACCTCTTTCACTACACTAGTACACAGAAGAAGATTAAAAAAATCAAATCATTATGAGGGGAACCAAATGCTGATGATACCATTACATGGGCTGGGATTCTAGTGCACCTGACAAATTACTTCAGCTCCGTGAAATACATCAAAGTGGCTGGTTAATTAGTAGACTCAGTTATTCAAGACCCTTCCCTATTCATAACTCGCAGAATTTGGGGAGCAGTAGCTGGCGGTCCACTTAATCATGAACAAAGTGTCACTTGGTTCCTTAAGATCTCTAGGGAGGCAAGAAACTAGACTTCCCTACAAACCCACAACTTCTGTTGTTACAGTTCATTATTTGGGATATCTTCTTCTGGATGTGAGCAGGGAAGGCTTAAAGCAATACAGGGCAAAGGCTCCCCTGCACTATCCCTTGCCCCTGGCATTCCCACCAGAAAAGGCTACACATACCTGCAGGGAAATAATTGAGATATTCTTTCATTAAGCCTTGCACTTTCTCACAGTACAGTTGAATCAGACAGTTGTGAAATTCTGCACCAGTTTCTTCCCAGACATGAATGATGTGTTCCTACAAATACACGTTCAAGTTCAGTTACAGACACTTCCTATGGGAAGTAGTTTAAGCAAGGAACAGTTCCAAGCTCGACTTCAGAATTTCATATCTTTTAACTGAACTTTCATTGCAAATGCATTTTTCACATGGCAAAGCTAGCATTCTCCAAGATGCATCCAGTTCCAACGCCCGGAGAACTAAAGCCTTACAAGTAACACGTTGTACTGAATGTAATGCACAAGTCTGAGTTCTTACCAGATAAGGAATAGTCAAGCTTTTGAAGTTTTCTATCAGGAAACTGAGCACTTTGACTCGTGGCAAAGCCTCCACTTCTGGGAGATCTTCTGTAAATATCTGTTAAATTAAATTTTATTTTCAGAAAGGTGACTTTTTTTTTTAATTAAGTGCCACAAAGTATTTTCTGAGAGGCACTGAAGCCCAGCCTATCGCGTATGTCTAAAGAGTAAAAAGAGGAACTATATAAAAAAAATCTGAGCAGCTTACTCAGGCACCCAGAAGGATTAACAAACAGCCCATTTCTATATCAAAGAGGAAGAGGAAAATAAAAAAAGCAAACCTGACATTCAAATACTCAATCAGCCTCTTGTGCAAAAAGGATGACATGAACAACATTAAATGTTGTATCAAAGGTTCCTAGCTACTTACTGCAGATAAAGTATTCCAAGAATGGAAAAGTGTAAGAAAAAACTAAATGGCTGTCCTGCTCTACCTACTGCTAACCTTACTACAGTTCTGAGCACAGAAAATATAAATTATATATTTAACTGGATTTAGCATTAATACATGGCTTCTTACATTGAGTTCTCCCAATTCTATACGCTGCACTAGGAACCTCAATGGCAAGGCGCCGTTTCAACTACACCTACCTTCAGTCCATCTTCGGGAAAATCTCTCAGCACCCAGACAGAGTAGGAGAATACCAAGTGCAAGTTCTCTGTGCCTGGAATACAAAAAGCAGCAGTGCTCGGTCTTAAAATCCTAAGGATCTATCTGCTCACAACACCAGCAGATGCTTTGAGAGCCAGCAAAGCTTAATTTACAGGAAGAATCCGGTTTGGCTTTTTCTCCTGCTCAAGTCAAGCAGATCACACATTCCAGCCACGATTTCATTATTTGGCAAACATGATTTCAAACAGAAACATGAATTAACTCAAATACTAAGTGCCAAAAGTAAACAATTAAGACCAAAACCAAGCTCAGTTGTCTTTATCACAGTCAAGTCTTCCACTACTTACCACCTGTGTAATTTTCCTTCAGTCCATTTCCAGATGACGACTTCTATAGCAAATAGTCAAATACTTCATCACAAACAATAAAGTGTTATAGTACTGAAATAACTGGTATAGCCACTACGTGACAGGTAACAACTTCTCAGCTTTCAAGAAAATTTAGGGCCTGCCTCTTTAAAAGAAGATTTTCATTTGGACTATTTGGTACACAAAGTTTATAAAACATGACAGGAAAATATGACTTTCACCTCACAGCCGTGGTGAGGCATTCACTGTCCAAACAATGCAACAACACAGCTATACAAGGAACAGAAACCTGCATCGACCCTATTAAAAAAAAAAAGCAGCCATTGTTTGCTTTTCTTCAAACAAGCAGCATCTTCATAGCAGCAGTATTTTAAAAATGAGAAGATGAGCACTATGAAGTTTTAAAACAGCCCCGAGAAGAGCCAATTTCAAAGTTTCAGAAACTAAACAGTGACTTGGCAAGCAGCACCAAGGTTGTGGGTCTGAATTTCACTGAACTTCAATTAACTTTCTAAATGAACAGGGCATTGTATGGTAATGGGTTTGCTAGCTTCACTGAGAAAATTTAAATAAAGGACCAGACAAGCCATGAAAGAGTAAGTTCTTACGTAAAACAAGAGACAGAAGAGAAAGCCTACTCGTTACAATCACGTGTGAGATTAATCAGAACAGCTCCTTTCAAAGCACTGATCAAGCTGCCTTTGCTGAAACCATGACCAAATCAAACGTGAAGTTACAACCTACTCAAAACACTCAAGATAGCAGGAGGAGGAACTCACCAGGTAACTACCAGAGCTTACAGATCAGAATACCAAAAGGCCAACATCACATCACACCAAAAAACAAAACAGCTAGTTCCCTCATCACTTAACCTGCAGCTGCATGGCGACTTACACTGAAGGTCAGAGGCACGGATGTTTTTGCTGCTAGAATTAAAGGAGACAATGCATTTCCTAACTATCTCAGCAACAAATCCCTAATTTAAATATAAGCTATAATAGGAAAAAGTTCTGCATAACACTATTTTAATGAATAAAGACCGGTGTAATACAGAAAACTATCTATTACCTCACCACATAATTCTCCTGTGCCTGTCTCTGCACAGATAAAGTATATTTTTGATGGGCATGTTCAATCACAGAATTAATGTTTACATCAAAGCAAATATTAAGTGCTTACTCTGTTGACACATGGTTAAGTAACAAATCCCAATCAGTAATACACACTTGATAAAAGAACACAGCTACAAGCCTGAAGGATATTTTCTATAATTACCTGAGAACTATTTAAGAACATTTAATTAAATGCCCAAAAAATACTGTGGACAAGACCTGACTAAAGAAAAGTTTCTACGTCACTCAGAATGCAAGTGAAAGCAACTAAAAGTACATCCTGCATGATTAAAATTTTCAAAAAGCATTTTAAAAATCAATAATTACTGCTTAGATTAGAAGTCTCATCAAAGGGGAGGCAGAGGGAAAAATCTGTAAAACCATCACAGTCTGAAATGTTTTTATCAACTTAAGGGACTCCCAGGAATTATCTTAGCAATTAATCAAGGCAGAATGGGCATTGCAGTTAAACCCAGACACATACACAGAGAACATGTAGTTGTGGGCAGGAGCAGGAAATCTGGCAAGCAACACCAGTCTAAAACATTTATTAGCAATAGTTAACTTTCTAGATTGCTGCTACTGTAATTCATCACCCCGACACCAACAGACTCAAACATCCTTTATTGGTTTTAAAGAGCAGAGCAAGAAGCATACAGGAAAACTGATTTTTCAGGAGGTCCTGACATACCAGAAAAGCTTCTGAAGTCTAAAAGAAATTTAGTAAGTTGTCAAGATTTTAGAAAGTATTCCAGACAACCTGAATAGTTAC